GCCTAAGTTTTGCCTAGGCTCATAAAACTTAAAACTTGACCTCCACACCTAGTCACATTTTACGCTTTTTAGATCACTGGTGAAAACACAGTTAATAAAAAAAAATACATTCTCAACGTGTATTTTATTGGAAAATACACTTTCTAATGATATTTCTAATTTTATGCACTCTAGAATGATCTAGCGGATTCAAGACGTGACATACATTAATTATAGATGTCGGCTAAGGATCGGACCTACTATCAAGACTAAATTCACATTCCTTGACTATAATTAATTTCATAAAAATTTTGACAAAGTTTTCCCTGAAAAAATGTATTAACACAAATTAACTTACTCAACATGATAAACATGTGCCCCAAAATATAATGAGTACATGATGAAACCAACGAATCATACAATCTAGTTATGTCACATAGCTCGCCTTGGCAAATCAACAAGTTCCAAAAGATGCTCAATCAACTACTACCTAATAAAAAAATGCGCGCCAGAATATATGAGCTTATATCTTAGGAAGGAAGAGTTTTCAAATTATTATATTTTTCCAAATGTAAATATTTGCAAAAAATCTAGTTTATACTATCATAATTGGTAATTTGGAAATTATAAAATTATAGTCATATGTACGGAGAGCTGTCCCCAAAGGTTCGGCATTCTAGCACATTCCAAAATCTACGTGTATACGAGAGTAGGTCCCAAATACTCTCGATAATTTATCGTACAATGTAGAAAAACAAACACAAGCACAGAGTAGGTGAAATCAACATATTTGGTTATACAATATGGAAACACTTTCACATTGTGCATAGCAGGTAAAATCACTTGAATACATTCTAATATAACATGTTTTCAAAAATTTTGATAACATGCTAATTTTAAAATTTTTCTGACGATCGTATGCTAGTTGAATCTACAAATCGCCAATCGTCTCTAAACTCATTTCGAGAACTACATCATAGACATCGAATGATCTAAACAGACATCAAAAAATAGTTAAAGATACGTCGAACGTGTGTCTTAAAGATAGGTGTCTAAAACGTCTTTTCTTCCAAAATTTTCAATTATATCATTAATGTTTATTATTTTTGTGCGACAAATTTCTTAATATAATTTACATAAAAAATTTCGAAATTTTACATCTCAAAAGGTCATATCCATATACATTTTCAGATGTAAATATACATGTGGTATGATTATTTTAGATAAATTTTAGAATGTAAATTTTTTTGTAATTTTTTTAAAAGTTT